TGGAGCAGCTGGAGCACGACCTCCGCGATCTCTCCCAGCGCCCCACACTCCTTCGACGAAGACATGCACGTGCTGTGAGGGAGTCCCACGTCCAGGCCTCATACGACGCTTGGGTCCAGAGGAACCTCTGCGAGGCCATGGGCTGGGCCCGCCGTGCTGCCCGCTGTCGTTTTTCGGCAAAAAGACGGGGCGGGCGGTGTTTCGGCGGAGCTCCCATCACGCATGAGGAGTGGCTCGCCGTCTGGCCCCTCCCAGGCGGCGACGGCGGGATGCAGGTCCACCCGATCGACTTAGGCGCCTGGCGTGCCGCCCGAGATGATTTGGACATGACTCAGATTTATGACATGGCCCGCTGTGAGGGCCGCCCCCAGCAGCTAGGATACAAGGGTACTCAACGCCTTCGCATATACGTTCGTCGGGCCCCGAAACGCCGTGTTGTTCCTGGAGGGTCGGCCCCGCTCGAACTTTGGCGACAACTCCTTCGCCCTGAACGAGGCATGGAACGCCGGATGCCCTGGTCTTGGGGCCCCACGAGCCCCCGAGGAGCCCGCGCAGTTTCTGGAGACCCTCCTGGACGGGATGACGAAAATCCGGATCACCGACCTGGCCCCCTTTATACTGGAATGTAAGTCGGGGGTGTGCCTTGTACAAGTCGGCCCAGTCTGGACCTAAGGGCAAAAGGGTGGTCCACGTGCTTCCAGCCGCGTGGAAATCCTTCTTCGCGGAGTTGTTGCCCGATGAGTTGCCTCCTGAAGATTGCGGGTTCCAGCGTCGTCGTCGTCGTCGTCGTCGGGAAGGGGCCATCATGGCCTCGCAGGTGGTGGGCTGGAGACTTCGACGGGCTGGGTGGAGCTTTGGAGCCAGTCTGAAGGATATGAGTAATGCGTTCGGGAGCTCTAACTGGTAGGCCATGGACCATACCATATCTATTATTGTACAGCCTGAACATGTTGCGCTTGGCAAGAATAGGTATCGTGATGCTGTCGTTCTACTTCGCAGTGATGAAGGGGGCCTAGCAGTAAAGACAGGAGTGAGAGGAGTCATGGGGGATCCGTTCATGGTGGCCGCTTTCTCCACCACCTTCTGCCGCCCTGTGTTGAAGTGGACGGACGCTCTGCGCGAGGTCGATCCGCCCCTCAGGCTCACCCGCGCAGAATGGGGCGGCCAGGAGGTCGACCTTAGCTTGTGCACGTCTGCTGACGATCTTTCCGCTACACTCTCATTGCACATGGAGACTCCATGGGGGGGTTCCTGGCCAAGCTCAAGTATTCAGATGACTGTCTCGACTCCCTCCTCCAGGACTACGGGTGCAAACCAAACCGGGGGAAACGAGAGTTGGCCGTCTGGATCGAGGGGGGTGGGGCTCTGGCTTGCAAGAAGTGGCTCCGCGGGCCTGGTCGGGCGCTCCTGTCGGGGGAAATCAAGGAGGAGGTCAGGTATCTTGGTCCCCACATCACGATGTCCCAGGCGTCCAGCCATGAGATTGCACGCCGTCACCAGGCAGCTCGCGCCGCTTTTTATTCGATGGGCGGCTTCTGGTCTTTGCGGCTGCCGTGGAAGTTCACGCGCTCGATGTTTATGTCTTTGGTTCAGCATTCAGCCTTGTGTGGCCTGGGGGCCTTCTTGATCACCAAGCATCAGAGTGCCAGTTTAGACGCCACGGCGGCGCACATCGCCCGCGCGGCCATGCGTGGAAGGGCCAGCTGGCAGACAGAGTCTGGAGCGACCCGCACGTCGACGACAAAAGGAGTCCTCAGGCATTGGCGCATCTGTGAGGCGCACATCGAGCTCGGGATTCGTCGTCTGAATTGGTGCACAGCTTGGTCCCGCCACCCGTCCTGCCACCTTCAGTTGCTCTCCGCTCTCTTCGGCCCCGTGGCCTTCGAGAAAGGCGCGGCCCCCGTGACCGACGGCGCGCTCGCTTCAACGGCCTCTCTGTGCGCCAAACACGTCGCTGATGATCCCCGATGGGCTCGGGAGTTCCCCCCCAGACCACGGTGATCATCTAGGATGGATCGCCGCCCGCCCTGGCCCCCTGCGGGGCCCTGCGGTTCAGTGTGAGTTCGAGAATATCGATTTCACGGCTATTCGATCATGTACGTTCGGTTCGCGGTTCGCGCCCCCAGCGTACACGGAAGAGCAACTCTTGGACCCCGATGCTCCCAAGTTCGTCTGTCTTGTCGCGGAATGTGGTGAACGTTTTGCTACGAAACAGGGGCTCATGGCACGCATGCGTTCTCAACGTGATTGCCGATCGTTGTGCCATGTCCTCACACCATGCGATGCATGCATATGCTGTCGGGAAGTCTTCTGGGCCAGGGCTTGCGCAGCTCGACATCTTGTACTAGCCGTACAACGGGGACATTGTCGTTTCGGTGGGGGTAGGACGCTGCGACCTCTTTCACCTCCGTCGACCCTGCAGTGCCCCCTATGCGAGTTCGAGGCCTCTGACTTGAACCCCCAATGCCGACATCTACGCAGCCATCTCCCTGGCCCAGTTCTCCCTCGGAAGCGCCGCCGCCTCGCGGACACTCCGAGCGCCGCCCTAGGGCATGTCCCAGGTGGTGGCGGCGAGCTGGATGCAGGGGCCTTCGGCGACAGTGAAACGTGGAGCAGATGGGGCCCACGGCTCGGCGCCACCAGCCAAGCAGGCCGCCGAGGGCAGCAAGAAGAAGGAGAATGGCGACCTGCAGGCTGCGCTGTTGAAGGTCATCGCAAAGCTGCGCCTCGACGACGCGCGCGAGCTGGCCAACCTCGCGGGGGCAGTCTACCAGACGTGGGAGGTTACCGAGACCGCGGACCCTTTCACGCAGATCATGATCGACGCGGGGCTCAAGTACGACGAGGTCTCAAACAACCTCAAGGGGCGCCAGCAGGCCGGCGAAAACGTCGATTTCAGGGCAAGAGGACCGCCACACGTGCAGGTCTGGGGGGCGCTCGCCATGAGTTTTGGGAACCAGATGGACACCTTCCTGGACGGCAGCGAGACCTACAAAGAGAGCGAGAAGAAGGTCTTCTACGAGTACTTCCAGAAGCACCTGGCCCAGAAGCTGCCGACGGATGTTGCCGAGCACGTGCTGCACTTCCGCTACAAGAAGTTCAAGCCGAAGAAGAGCCAGGACGGGGCAACGGTGGCGGCGGAGGAGAAGAAGGGCAGGCTCACGTTCGCCTTCTCATACGACGAGCCAGGGAGGGAGGCGCGGTCGCTGTTGATTCAGTTTCTGAACTCGGACAAGGCCAAGGCGACGCAGCTGGTGGGACCTGCCCCAAGGGGCCCCCTCGAGCGTGAGGCGGCGAGGCTCCTGGCGATCTTCGAGAAGGGCGGTGGCAATGACAAGGATCAGGATCAGGAGAGCTGAGGACAAAAAGAGAAAAAGGAACGACAGGAGTCGTTCGCGTGAGCGTGGGTGCGAGGGCCCCCGTGAGAGACGCTTGTTGAGTAGAGGGGCCTTTGCAGGTAGTGAACGATTAGCAGCTTTAGAGGCCCGATGGGGCCATCCCAGACCCCTTTGAGGCCACGAGTTTCGACACATATTCGAATCCCGATCTTCCCCCGGCCCCCTTAGTAGTGGCGGCTAAACGGGCTCCACGCAGAGGAGGAAAGGGTAAGCAAGATTCTCACGGCAGACCCAGTGCGTCGGTCCCCTAGACGGCCCCCTTCGTGCGCCTGCGCGGCGCCTGGGATTCGCCGTCGCTTCAGGGGCAGCGCTGGCCCTGCCAGAGGGGGTTCCCCCTGTCTCTTTTCAAGGTTAACCCGCTCCCCCAAGAAATCGGGTTGCGCTGAGTTCATGGCCAGTTTTGTGGTATGAGATCGAGTAACTCATTTGGACTCCCCGCGCATTGCTCATTGTTCATTGCTCCTCCTTCCCCTCCTCCTTCACTCTCTCCCTCCCCCCTTTCTTCCCCTCCCTCCTTCCCTCCTTCCCTTCCTCCCACCCCCCTCCTTCCCCCCTCTTCATTCATATTCGCTGGGTCATCACTTAATCACCAACGCACCAACGACGCATGATAGTACTTCGCCGGCATCCACCACCAGGCTTTTCGCCCCCCTATACCTCCCTTTTATCTTACATCGTACGTGTCCCGCAGTCACGATGCACGCTCGCATGGCCCGAGGGGCCATGGCCTCCCGCGCAGGCACCCTGGCCCCGCAAGCTGCGCGGCCCGGCGGAGCTTGTGTCACGCGCCGTGCCGCCTCCGGCTCCGGGGGCCGCTTCAGATGCCAGGCCAGATGCGGTCCAGCGGCCGTCTTCCTGCTCCTTTCCTCACTACTCCTCCGGCATCCTCCTCATCATGTGTTTCATTTCTCCTCCTCATCATCATCGCCATTATTAGCATCACCATCAGCATCATCAGCATCAGCATCAGCAGCAGCAGCATCATCATAATAATCATAATCATCACCATCATCAGCATCATTCACAGAGCGCGTTCCGCTATTCGCAAAGTGCCTACTCGCAAACGTTCGAAAAACACATGTTTGCTTCGATGTAATTTCTCGTAGATCCCCCCCTGGCGGATCCAGGCCATTTGCGAGTCACTTTGCGAGTAGTGGAACGCGCTTGTCTAATCATCATCATCATCATCATCATCATCATCATCATCACCATCACCATCACCATCACCATCATCCTCATCCTCATCCTCATCACCACCATCATCATCAACAACATCACCATAACCATCACCATCATCATCGTCGTCATCATCGCCATCATCATCATCATCATCATCATTGTAATCATCACCATCGTAATCATCATCATCATCCTCATCATCGTGCTCTACCTCATTGTATCCCTCCCTGTGCCTCCCTTTTCATCATCATCGCTCTCATCCCGTCTCTTCTCTGTCTGTTTCTCCTCTTCCTCCTCCTCGTCCTCCTCCTCCTCATCTTCCTCCTTCTCCTCCTCCCTCATCCCCCCTCCTTCTCCGTGTTTCCCCCTCCTGCCTCGCGTTGCCAGATGCCTACGCCTGCAAGCCTGATCCCCCCCCGACAGGCCCGTTTCAAGCGGACCAAGTACGCCTTGCAGTCCATCGGACCCGCGGTCGCCTCACGGGTTTCCAAGGAGGTGGAGAAGGAGGAGGAGGAGGAGGGGGGATACTGATGATGCTGATGTTGATGTTGATGCTGATGCTGATCATGGTGCTGATGATGATGCTGGTGATGCTGGTGATGATGCTGATGATGATGATGTTGATGATGTTGATGATAATGCTGATGATACTGATGCTGATGATGATGCTGGTTATGCTGATTATGCTGCTGCTGATCATGCTGATGATGCTGATGATGCTGACGGTGATGGTGATGCTGCTGCCGATGATGATGCTACTGATGATGTTGCTGCTGCTGCTGCTGATGATGATGAGTATGATGACGATGCTGATGATGAGGATGGTGTTGATGCTGCTGAAATGAGGATGACGATGATGAGGAGGTGGAGGAGGAAAAGACGGAGGAGCAGGATGAGCAGGAGGAGTAATAGCTGACATGCTACGAACAATAAGGGAGCAGGGCACCAGGCAACGGTCGCTCCCAGGGTTCGGTCATGGGCGGGTTTTGAAGGCCTGAGCGGGATTTTGGGGACAATTGCGATACGTGTTGCTGCGCGTGTTGTCACGTGGCCAGAACGCAGCTGGCGTCCAGGAGCATCCTGGCCAAAACCAAAGTTATGATTCTCTCTCCTGTCAGACAGCGCCTGTTGGACGGCAGGCGCCACGCAGCCGAGGGGAGAGGAGGAGGAGGAGGAGGAGGAGGAGGAGGAGGAGGAGGACTGTATGTGATGTCCGACGTGTGTGTTCGCTGCGGCTCGGCCAAGGGCACCTGTGCTTCACCGCTGGCGGGCCTGTCCGTGCCAGCAGACAAAGCGAAGGGGGGCGACCACGTCACCCGGGATGGACTCGGGACGAGGCCCTGGCTGTGGATGGGCACGACGTCTGAACGTGCTTCCTCCTCCTCGTCCTCCTCATCCTCCTTGTCCTCGCTTCCTCCTCCTCCTCCCCCTCATCGTCCTCCTCCTCCTCCTCCTCCTCCTCCTCCTCCTCGCTCAAGTATTGGGGGTCAAGTTCTTTTTGTTGGCCTCCGTCCCCTGTGCCTCAGCGTGGCACTTGAGAGACTAGATTCGAGCGCTACCCACTTTACATCGCTTGCGCTCAATATCGACCAAAGCAGGGGAGAAAACAATGGCGCGGGGCTCGTCGGTCCCCAGGGGCCGTGGGCGTGGACCGTGGAGCAGGTGCCCAGACTGCGGAATCCGTGAGTACAACGCCGAGCTGGCCAAGACAGGATGCACTTGCCGGGGCTGTGGCTCACGAGTTCCTCTGTGCAAGGCGCGCTCGTCGTCTGCGGGGCGGAAGGTCACCTTCGACTTGACAGACGACGAGGAGGACGAGCTGGTGACCCCCCGAGGGACCCAGGGGGGCAGATGGCAAGGGCCGCAACGACGCCAAGGGCGGACGGCGCGGTGCAGGCCAGGACGTGGCCGCCCTCCTGGAGCAGGCTCTTCAGGCGACAGAGGACCAGGAGCTCATTTGGCTACCTGCGCAAGCAGGTTGAGGAACCTGCGGTGGAGGTGACGAAGCCCAAGGACGAGCCGTCCCTTGTCGAGGCGCTTCGTCGAGCCGAAGGAGTTTGCGAAGACGCAGAGCATCGTCACTCGCAGCCAGTTGCGCATTTTGTTCGGTTGAGGAAACAGCTGGAGGCTGCCGAGGAGAAGGAGGCGAAAAAGGCGCGGGCGGTGGCCGAGGCCGCGTTGGCCCGCAGGGCCGCCGCGCAGGCTGTGGCCCACGCCGACGGCGCACAGGCCGCACCCGCCGCCCAGCCCGACGCCTGAGCAACAACGCCCATTTTCCACGTCAGCTGGGACCAAGGGTTCTTTGATAAAACTGGTGGCATGGAGTGTGAAGAACACGAGAAAGAACTGCTGAGGGGCATCAGGAATAACCTTGAGGCTACGCAGGGTGCCATGGCTTCGAAGGAGGCTGAGGTCAAATCGTGGCCGGGGCAGATGGAGCCCGTCAGGCGCGACATCGAGCAGAGGCTCGCCAAGAAGAGGCGAGGGATCGATGGCCAGGTTGTGGCTGGTGGCGGGGGCGCCGAGGCCGCGCAGCCGCTGCAGGCGGCGGCAGGGGTTTCCCCAGGCGCTGCCGCCAGCGGCGAGGCTGCGGCGGCAGGCAGCGGCGCTGGGGTACCCGACGCAGCGGCCCAGGCGGCCAAGGAGCATAATATCGCGGAGGAAGCGAAGAAGCTCTCGGAGGCCGAGTTCCCGGCGGAAGCACTGAAGCAGAGGGGCAAGAGCATTGACAAGGGCGGCAAGGGCTACGCTTCCCAGGCCGACGGCGCCAGCTCTTGACTATTTGGAGCTGCGCCGATGGCGAGCGAGCCGCCCGACGAGGCGGGGGGGGGCAGCATGGCCGATGGTTTTATGCCTATGTCATTTGCATGGGGGAGAAGTGTTGGAACTGGCTTACGTCTAAGTCGTTCGCCTTCGTCAGTATCGTCGAGTCGCGCGTCCGCGATGACAGGGCTCTGCGTAAGTGCGACGCGAAGGCTCGGGGAAAGGACCTACGCTCGTTTACCAATCCTGCGAGACCGTCTTCGAAAGCGAGAGCTGCAGACGGCGCCAAGAAGGGGGCGCTGATGGAGTATTCGAACGAGGGCGGTGACTGGTTCATGTCCAAGGGGGGCCTGCAGTCACGTCGCCCCCCAGCCGCCAGGCTAGTTGGGGGCAGGCTGCGCGCGCCTCACCATCCGAATTGTCTCGATGGTTTTCTTGCTACAGTTGTGCATTTCTCTGGTTTCAGCGTGATAGCGGTGAGCTCTTACGCGCGCAATTGCATGGGGCTCACAGGGGCCAGCGTCGGCAGGTTTCAGAGGCTAGCAGGGCCCCTGTGGCCTCTCCAACTCCTCTGGATAGTTGCGGGAGATTTCAATGTGGAGCAGCGTCAGCTTGAGAAGTCAGGCGTCGTTCGTCGGCTGCAAGCCGTGGCGTTGCAGGCGAAAGGGGCTGTCACATGTAATCTTGGCTCGGGCACGGCCATTGATTATCGTCTTTGCAGCCAGTCCGCAGTGCCATTTATCGCCGACATCCGCCCTGTCATCTCAGCACCCTGGAAGCCGCGCGCAGGACTCGAGATTATCATGCGTCGATCGGGGAACAACTCCTGACGGGAATGCTAGAGGCCCCAGGTCGGCCCCCACAGGGCCCACGACCGCGTAAGGAAGCCACCGCGGGGTCTAAGTCTAGTCTTGCGAAAGCTACGCGTAAGGCACAGCGCCAGCTCGCTGTCAAGAAGCGAGCAGCCACGTTTTCTGCCGCGTTTGAGGATTGCTGTCAGCCGGAGCAATCTGTAGCGAATCCCGAGGACGATGGGGCTGGGGAAAAAGATCCGTCGGCCGCTGGGCTGGGGGAGCTAGATACTGAGCCTTTCAATTTTGATGAGTGGCCCGGGGAGGAAGACCCGTGGGCTGAAGAGCTCTCGTTCTGTCCCGACTCTTCCCTCCTTCCCGCTCTCGCTGCGCCAGGTATAGGAGCATCGCAGCGAGTGCCTCAGCCTGGCCCCTCTAACAGGACTCGCGAGGTCTCCAGGGACGCGCCTGAAGTGGCCGAGCCGTCTGGGGTGGAGCCGCCGAGAGCTCCTGCCACAGCTCGCGGCCGTCCTCAGCCACAGACCCTGGCCCCCCGTGGGGCTGGGGGCCCTACGGGGCTTGGGCTGGATGGGGGGGGGGCCCTGGAAGGGGCCCCGTCCTTCGCCATCCTGTCTGCTGCGCGGGTTAGGTGTAGACGCGATGTAGGGTTTGCCTCTGGAGCTCCCACTCTTCGGCCTCTTGCTCCTGCTCTGCGTCAATCCGTCGCCGTTCGACTCAAGCCTGCTCCGCTTGAGATTATTTCAGGGCCCCAGCCCACTTGGGCGCCAGCTGTCGAACCCACAATCACTTCTCATCATGGGGTGGGCTTGCTTCCCGGGCCGTCGCGGGCCGATGGGCCCAAGCTCACCGTCGCCGCAGTGAAGGTGCCGCGGGAGGTTCGCGCGACGCCCCTTCGGGATTAGATCCATGGTTGGTGGGCCCAGTTCAACGCTCTGCTCGGAGGTCTCGCGCTGCGCAAGACGAAGGACAACGGCGCTCTCCAGACCGAGCGCTACGTGACGGGATGTGCACGGCACCCCGCGGATCGGCCGGAGCATGCGCAGCGCGTGCTCATCGAAGGCCGTGGCCCCCCATGGTCGGAGCGGGAGGAGGTTCGGAGTGGCGCGGGCGAAGTGGTCACACCAGTGTCCGTGAGCTTCGAGGCCAGCGCCAATAGGATCATGGCGAGGGCGCAGCGCAGGGCAGTGCGCGATAGCATCAATGCGTTTAAGGATTTCATGGTTGAAGATGGGGCTATTGGGACTCTACATAAGGCCCATAATCAACATAGCTTGCCAAGTCTTGGCGTGGATCAAGGAGGTTGTTTTCCTCCACTCACGCCATATAATCGGCCACAAAGCGAGGGCATGGCACGGCCCGCGGTCACCAGTTGCCCTGGGCGAAGGCGAAATCTCTCGGACCTTTGCCCAGATTCTCGCTGCTGATGGCGAGCCGTTGCCATGCATTTTTGCTGCGGAGATTCGGTCAGCCCGTCGTGCGATGAAGGGGCGAGCGGGCCTCGGCGTCGACGTGCTCAGCCCGCTCGACTTCGAGCGCCCCCCCGATGAGGCGCTGGCCGAGTTGGCGCTGCTGTTCCAGGCTTGCGAGTGCCATCTCGGGTGCCCTGGCCAAGTGCCGTTGATTATAGGACGCCTGTTGCCAAACAAAATCGAATGGAGACCGAATCGTCGGCCTGGCGTCGATGGCGGGGGGGCCGTGGAGCCTCGCGCGCGAACCCCATGTTCGGAGCTGGTCCTCGACAGCCGAGGAACGCTGGGAGGCAGCAGCGCGGGGGAACTCCAGGCCTCGCGAGGCCTTCATCCGCGTGCTGCAGCAGGAGGTGCCCCACCACCTCGGGGTCGCCACAAGGGAGGCCCTTGTCGACATCCAGTCGTCCTACGACTCCATCGAGTGGCC